TACTCGAGGTTAGAGGGGTACATTGTTGAAGGATAGGATCAGGGGAGGAGTTTGGGGTAGGTTTTCATTGTCTCATCAGAGTGTTGTCGCCAGTATGAAAGGTAGTGTGGTTCTAGCTTCGTCTGGAGTTCAACCTGCTATGGCGATCAGCGGGCGACGATGCTTAGAGCAGTTATTTTTCATTTGCTTTTATTATTTTTGTTTTCATTTACGTCACACCCGAAACTTGACGGCTACTCTCAACTTTGTGGTTTTAGTACTTGCACAGTTGTACCATTTTTGCATTCGTAGAGCTAGACAAATATAGTGATACTCTATGACAAGGGAAGTTTTCTAACTAAATAGCAGCACTTTTAATGAAGATAATCATAAAAAAAATACATGTATTTAATTTTTGATTGTTTATTATATTGAATATTTGATTTCATTTTGTAAATTGATGGAAATTATTTATACTGGTGCTGCGAACAAAGTTTAATTCAGTTCATAATTGTTAGGAAAGCTTCATTCCTAGATTGGTCTCAAATATGGCTACTGTTGTATGCGATGACTGCCTTAAGCAGATTTCGTTGATAGTTGTTGTGGCTTTCAGGAACTTTATAATTCATCCATGTTTTGGCGAAATCGTGGTGAATTGCTTCGATTGTCTGTTCTGAATATCGTCCAAGTCCTTTGTTTGCATTACAGCAAAATCCAGTTACGTGGAATTTAATGATGTGAAACTTCGGAGTTGTTGGAAGTCTCAAAGCTTCCCAACCTCACAAAATTCGTCAATAGATTGACGATACCCATCAATAAGTTCCATGCCAAAACATTTTTCAATAACCGAGCCAAGATTTTGCATCATAAAGGCATATTCTTTTAGACCAGCATCGAGTAAAACTTCTTTTTTGGTCAGTAAAGCACGACAATGTCTTCCAGCAAAACCAAATTGCGCATGTCGAGTTGCATTTGCAGCCTTAGCCCAAGATTCTGCAATGCTTGGATAGTTTTTAGCTATGTTGTCGTAGGCACTGTTCATTAGACCCAAAAACAAGTGCAATGATGGTTATCGCCTGGTACCTTATAGCACGATGCTAGGAGGCGAACCGGAAGAATCGATGAGCTACCTCCCCCTGTCCACCGAGGATGATCTTGAAGTATGGAAAAAATTAGTTAGTTAGTCTTCATCTATGTGATTCCTAATCTACATTCTTTGTTGCCTAGTTCCCTAGTATGAAGTGGTTAAGGCTAGGGTTCTGATGCATGGTCATTATCGGTGTCATTCCTCCCAAGTAACAATTCTGCAATCATTTGGCATCCACTCTGATTTATGATGGTTTTATAATGGCAATGAATAATCCATTTAGTTTGAATACCGCATTTCACACTTTCACCTAGTTCACCTTTTCGCTGTTTTAAAAACCTTTTACAGTCTGGCGAGAAGTCAAAAACTGTCTTGTTTTAAAATTAAATTTAAAGTAGTTCTCAATCCCACCATAAAACTGTTCTGAAAATCAATCATAAACTTCATTAGCAAATTTTTTAATAATGTCTTGATAAAATACTCTATAAACCTGTTCTATCATTATAAAAGAAAACATAAGACCATTCGGTTTTATATGAGAGTAAAATGCGTATATTGTTGCCTTTGAGGCTTTTAAAATTGTATCATAAAATCTCCTCTGTTTACAAATTGAACTTTAAGGATCGGTCCTCATAGTGAATAAAAACCAAATTTATGACAAGGATATCTGCAAAGATAAACGAAATTGGAGGAAAAATTCAAGCGATGCTAACGACTGAAGAGAAGTCGATGTCTGTAAAATTAAGTTCTTTAGAAGAACCAGCACGTCCGGTAGAACGGGTACCTTCAACGACTGAGCATCTGGTGGAGAAGAGTAAAGTGAGCGTGGTCCTCAAATTCATAAAACATTGTCAAAACAGTATGAAAACAGACTAGCCTTATACGCTGCAAAGTTTGGCCATGTTGATTCTGCAAGAACGTTTTTCACAGATTGATCTCTAATAGAGGAGTCCGCTGGTTTTGGTGTATTTAATGAATTTCATAGCGTCTTTCGAAAATTTGAAGCTCCTTGTTCTGTGTATGTGGCTGAACTGGCAGCAATTCACTACACTTTGGAAACTATTGCTTCACTTCTTCCACACCACTACTTTATTTTTACGGATAGTCTCAGTTCTGTCGAGGCTATCCGTTCCATTAGGCCGGTAAAGCACTTGTCGTATTTTCTCTTGAAAATACGAGAACTGCTTAGTGCTTTATCCGTGCGCTCTTTCATCATCACCTTCGCGTTGGTCCCTTCACATTGCTCAATTTTGGGCAATGAGAAGGCGGATTCACTTGCGAAGGTGGGTGCTATGGAAGGCGACATTTATGATCGACAAATCGCCTATAGTGAATTTTTCTCTATTTATCGTTAGCAGTCGCACGTTAGCTGGCAACATCAATGGAGTGAAGGGAGCTTGGGACGATGGCTACATTCAATTATCCCTAAGGTGTCGAAGTTTGCATGGTTCAAAGGGTTGGACTTGGGTCGAGACTTCATACGCGTGATGTCTCGTCTCATGTCCAATCACTATTGTCTAAACACTCACTTGTTCCGTGTGGGGTTGGGAGACAGCAATCTCTGTGAATGTGGACAAGGTTACCAGGACGCTGATCACATCCTTTGGTCTTGTGCGGAGTATCGTGGAGTCAGATCACATTTTTATGATTCCCTTCGGGCTCGAGGTAGACAACCTAATGTTTCAGTTCGGGATATTTTGGCTAGACGCGATCTGGAGTTTATGAAACTCATATATGTTTACTTTAAGGATATTAACCTTAGATTGTAAGTTTGATTAACCTTGTGTTTAGTTTGTATTTTGTACGTGTGGGGTTTTTTTTTTCAATGTTTGTTTTCAAGATGAATAGAAATAATTTCATGCTTTAGGATTAATTAAATAGTTGTATCGTAAACCACATTTCAAACCTCCTTCTTCCCTTTTCCCGTCCAAAAAATTGTAAATCTCCACTAACCTCGAGACAACCGCGAGTACTCGGTCCAGTTCCTTTAACTTTTAATTTAAGACAGTAATAATGTATAACTCAAAGGATAACTCGGCTATGTAAAGTTTATTCGATTGAGCCTGTACAAATAAAGTAATTATAAAAAAAGACTAGCCTTCTCCAGACCTTGCGAATAGATGAAGATCGGAATAACATGCGTCAGTACCGACAGCAAACCACTGAAACTGTTAAATAGCGGACACTAGTTGGTTTCCGGTCCATAGCTGCGATTTTATTCGGTGAAAGGGTCATCATTTGGAAAAAAAAATCATTCAACCGTACATTCCTGCATCGTTCGATGGTGCACTTCCAGAACCATCCGGAAGAAGGGGATCTTTTCGGGAATGATCGAGGTTACAGCTGTGCGAAATGCGAAATGTTGTGAACACTTTCTGAGTAACTGCTTCCAAGCCATCGGGAGAGAATCGCCTGGAAGAACGCTGATTTGCACAGCGCAACTATCGAAAGATAAACAAACTTTGACGTCTAACATTTTGTAGGCAACATTGCCGCCATAAATGCTGCCATAAATCTGAACGGGTTAGGATTAAGCAAAATGGCTTTAGATAAATACAATTCAGCCTGGAAGTTTTCTTCATAAAAGCCATTTTAAAACCTTATGAATTTGTTAAGGAATTCTTGAAAGCAAAATAATTTTTTCACAAATGGTCCATGAAAATCAACATTTATGCCTCCGCCATATTAAACTATTTTGTTTGTTTTTTACAGTCTTCGATTTTCAATCTATATTTCCTTGGATATAACTTTATTGTAGTTAATTTAGCAATGAGAAAATATTTAGAATGCAAAAATCATGAGAAATAAACATCTCGGCTAAGCTTAATGATCGATCTGAAGAATACATTTTTTTTCCTTAATGTTAAATAATTAGTAAAATCAAAACATCGTGGGCGGACTCAAGTTTTTCGATGTTTTCACGTACATTTCACATCAAATTTTATATGGCACCTAAAACTAGACCACTTAATGAGAACTATTTTATAATATTTGAAATTCGACAGGATTTTTATACGATCAGCTTTTATTTTAATTATTTTGATAAGATCGGATGGTATTTATGAATCCTTTTTTATCTTGATTGTTGTTTTTTTTAGTTAACTTAGCAAGCAGCTAGGGTAAATGGCTCGGATAATGGTTTTAATTGTTGCCAAATAGCTTTTATTGTAGCTTCAATACGGTTTTGAAATGGATCTCAATGCGTTTATCGTACAACCATTTTGCATTAAATCAATCTTGAAGAGCTTCGTAAATATACCCTTCAGAACCTTTTCCAGAGTGGACCAACTAGACAGATTCTAGTATCAATGGCAAAGCAGTCTTGAGCAGGGTTTTATGAATGTTGTTTTATAGTAGCTTTGTAGTATTTTATAAAACTTAAAATGTTATTTGGGCTTAATGTTGTTGCTAAGCAGTCCAATTTTGGCTGACAGAGGGGCGCGCCTTCGGATGGTGTTTCAAGGAGGGTATAAATAGCGGGACATTTCAATAAGAGTCGGATCCTTGCGTTAAATGCAAGAATGACAACTGTTAAAAAAAATGAATACTTCATCATTTCTCTATAGTGATGGAATAATACGACATGCACTAAACTAAGGACTGGAAACTGGTTGCAGTGGTGTTAGGTCCCTAACAGAGGAAAAAACACTAGTACAATTGCTCTAAATGTCGTTTGGTTAAGGTGTACGATTGTCTATAGAACGAATGGTAGAATAAAACCTTCAATAAATATTAAATAGTCAAGATCAACGACCGAATCGAATAATTATCTCACGTTTTCTATTCGCTACCAACCAGGCACAGCATCCTTTATCTCGATTTCATCCTGTCATCCTTTATCCAGACGTCTCCCTCCAACCTCCATCTGGGCCCATCCAGTTTCGACGACAGGCTACCACATCACGAGAGCAGTCATTTTCCTCCAAAATGGCACTCTAATCGGTAGTAGTCACGCTCCGCAAAGAAATCGCCCCGGAATAAAGCACACTGCTTCGGTTCGTTTCCACCAGTGCAAAAGTGATAATTCGTTGGTAGTTCCATCGTTGAATCAAATGTAAGTAAAATTTGATCGCGAAAAATGGAGAAAATAGGCGAAAAGTGCACTTTTCAATTCCGTAACTTGACTCCCCTTGATGGTGGAAAAATTTCATTCAGCAGCCGACCCCTTCCCCCATCCGTCTCACGCGCCAGGCTTTTCGTCCGATTTTACGAAGGGTGCAACATCCTGCTTCCTTGTTGATACCGTGTACCTTTTTATAGAGATGTGTGTCACGAGACGTGCGATGCTCCCCTCTCGGATTGTTGGGTGGTGATTCTTGCTTCACGCTACCATTGGCAGTGTGTAGTGATGCTTCTGGTGGTGATGAAACGTATTTTGGGACTTTGAAGGCAGAGAAAAAATCGATCGGCTACCGTTTTAGTGTGGACTATGGTGGCCGCCGATGTTTTAAGGTGCTTCATTAAAGGGGTGGTTTTTTAATAAGCTTCGAAGGATGAATGCATATTTTTAATTTTAATTACGTTGCAATTAGGAAGAATTATTAATTACTCTACTTCATTATACAATCAGAATCTAAATCAGTTATCAATCGGGTGAAAGTCAGAATTAAACTCAATTGAAGCCGCAACGTCGTCCAACAATGAGAAGCGTGAAAAATGATAAATTCAAAAATATTAATAAGTTAATGTTTCATCTATAATATTTTTAAAACGATATTAACGAAAAATGAGCCTTCATTATTTTCATATATTTTTGATCTAAGTGCAATTGGAACTATTGTTGTTGCTCAAATGTTATTCCAAAGAGTTAAAATATTTTTTACTTTACAGTTATCTTCACCGGTTAACATCGTGGTCGAGGTAGCGAACGCATCAAATCATCATTAAAATCACTAAAAGTCTTCCAAATAAATATATATATATATTAGATTATAATACTCTAAACAATAACTTAAGCTGTACAAGTATATAGTGATCAGATAAAAAGAAGAAGATTGTATTTACTATAAGAAACAAAACACTAACTCATAAGTTAGCCACTAAATAGTAACAAATTCAAAGCATAAAGAAATCATATCGGAAAAGATGTCTTTCCTGAACAACCTTCGCGCGATACCTCTGCCACCGGTGAAGAACGTCCTGAACGTGGCCATGCAGACCGCACGCCAGACGATTCCATCAAAGAACAAACAAAGCGATTACGAACAACCCGGTGGAGCGGACATTGGTCCGGATGCCGGCGTGCGGTCACCACCGCAAGTACCACCTAGGCCACAGAATGTCCACTTTGCTGAGTCCGATGGTAAGTTTGAGGCGAAGATTTCACCTTGTGGCATAGATTCTCACCACAACGTTATTTACTACAGGAGACACTGGTGGAACGACCGAATTGAATCCGCTAAATCCATTCACTAATCCCAAGGCGTATCATCAGGAAGGGGCGGAACAACCGAACGCCGGGCAATACCAGGAAACGGGCTTCAACCAACCGAGCGATTTCGAGAACGGCTACCAAGCGGGCGGCTACCCCAGGTAAGCTGCAAGTTTTCCCCAATATTAATGCGCATTACAGATTCGATTTGTGCTGAAAAGCACACACAACAAAATCCACACGTAGCATATGGGATTTGAGCTAAATAGCTACAAGCTTAAAAACTCAGTTGTTTATTTCGGTTACCTCTGATATAGGATATGTAAGCAATTAACTTTCTCAAACCCGACCATCAATTGTCTTAAATCTGGCACATGATTTCAAGTAATTTTATAGCCATTCGTTGTGGAGAATGGCAAGAAAAAGCACGTGTTAGCACTATTGAAAATCATCACCTTTTGCAGACAGGGGAGTGTTCAGTCATATGGATCCGATAGTACATTTGCTGGTGGATGCGAGGGCGAAGCAGCAGGAGGAATGAAAATCAACGAGTATCAGGCAGCGTGGAACGTCACCAACGCCATCCAGGTAAGAGAATAATTGACACATTCTACGTGACTTTACAACGGTTTTTGCCTGGTTTGTGACAGTTTTTGAACTGTAACTGAAAACAATGAAAAGTGGCCTCTAGACATTATTGCACTAATTACTAATTGATCAAGAGTTTCTGATTTGAGTAGCTCAAAACGTGTTGGTGTTGAGTAGTGTAGTTGAGAAGTGCAAAACGTTGTAACATAACGTGACATAATTGCTCACCAAATCACTTTGAGTTACCCATTTCATAAACTCTTGATTCAGTATTATTGTAAATTTATCACACTTTCCAAATCTGCAATAATATTTTGGGGTTAGCTATAATTTTTTCGGTTACAGTACAAAAACCGTCAAAAAATCAAAAAAAAATATAGCTCGAAATTTACAAATGGTTCGGGAAATAGAGACAATCCTAGCATTAAGCATGGGACAAGGATATCAAGCATGAGCATGAGCATGATTGACCGCTCACGGTTGGTACTCTGTTATTGCCAGATCAGCTGTAATTACACAGAGAACCAATAGACGATGCTTGGGACTAGAATTCATCCTTAATGTGTAAAAACTAATGATCTAAAACTAGGAAATACCAGCGCCGGCCGCGCCCTAACGCAGGTTTAGAAAATAATGAGTTCACGGAGAAAAAATACTACCCTTAATTTGAGTTCTTTTAACTTAATCTCTCACTTCATAGAATTTTTTTTTAATATCACATCAAAGTGGATGCGCTTCAATCGTGTCGAACATATGGTGTAATATTACTTGCCAAAAAGGACAAAATTATCATTAATACAGTGCATGAACAGACATTATGCTGCTTTTAAGGTGATTCCCCGTAGCGTCCTTTTTCGTGTTACACTTAGCAATTTCACATGTGAAAATATTAAGCTTTCTGTGAATGCACGTAGCTGAAACTACTACTTGTTGTTTGCTGCGGAGAAGCAAGCAATGTCTGAAATTTACAGATGCATAAACCTCGTAGATCTTGAGTTGTGTGCTCATGAAATTGTGAGGTGTGATGGAAAAATGGACTCCACAAGGAAACACCTTAATGCATTTGTTTATTTTTGTGGCCATAAAAATTACATGAGATTTTCGACATGATTTGAAGTGCATCCTCTTGGATGTCATATTAAAATTTATGTTTTGCTGTGTTGCACTCGTTATTGTTGTCAATAAAGGAACAAGAGAAACGACCCAACGATATAGTTCAACCCAATTAGTTACTTTTGAGTAAATTGCATATTCTCAAATGTACATGAATTAAGCTTAATTTTGGGTAGAATATACTTAAGAGTAAGTATTTTTTGCTACTGCTGCTAAATGGAAACTGCTATACGTGATGTACTCAAATTTGGGTTATTGGGCTGAACCCGGCAATTGAGGGAAAAGTACTAAATTTTGGGTAGTTTTTCATATCCGTGTAGGAATGTATTGATGTGACACTTGCTTTGATGGAAGCCGAGGAGTCCTCTGCACTTCCACCAGCAATTACTGGGATATTGGGTAAGAGAGTTGGGTTTGCAGCAGGGTTCGTTTTGGTAAACGATAAGATGAATTGATGTCCTAACGATCTTATAACGCGAGGAGCTAGGGATTTAACCCACGGTCTTCTGCAACTAGGCAAAGGAGCTCCTTTTTAATCATCGAGTTGCTATTATTACCATTTAGTTTTTTCCTTGATTTGTTTTCCGTCGATCTTGTTTTCCGTGCCGAGCTCCAATGCTACCGACGCCAGGGAGGCATCTCGCACACCTGGACCCTACCTATCGACCCATCAACTCATGAGCCGGGGACCAACGGCTTTACTTCCCTTCCGAAGGAAGGCGTCATCAGAGATGTTATGCCTTAGAATATCCCGGCGGCGCCGACTGGGATTGAACCCCTGCTGGGGTGAGAGGCAATCACGCTTACCACTACACCACCGGATTTCACCGGATGACGGAGTTTGACGTCACACTCCTTCAACCATTTAAACAGCGGGAGAACGAAAGAGATGAGAAATTCACTGAGCCTTACATATTTGTATCTCATTGATGGATTTTCAGTAGGCCGATTTGGCAGCACATCACGCCCCTGCCCGTTTCAGCCTTCATATTAAAAGATAGGGTAGGATGGTTCAAAACGCACCCCTGGAGTAAAATGGACCGGCGCTGTTTTTTCTGATTGTCAATTCGTGAATTTAACAATCAGCATTGCTAGTTCAGTGCTTGAACTAACAATCAGGCACATGATATTTCCAGAATTAGTAATAGGAAAGCAAAGAAAAACCGCACGAGGCCATTTTACCACAGGGTTGCATTATGGGCTGTTCTCCCCTACCGATGGTCAGCCCCTATCTGCTGATGCTTGCTTATATCAAATTTGTTTATTATCCAGTTCCAACCTGGATTGGGTATCAAGTTAGGGTCTGCTTGTTTTCTAGCAATCGTCAGTTTGATCGTTTGTTTTGACGTAGGACTACGTCTGTGATTTCTATATGGGGTACTCTTTGTGAAAACCGCAATTGGAACATGTAACATAATTATGAAAGATTTTGAACGTTAATAACTCAGCTGCTCCTGGAAAAATTTCAATAATTTTATCACAATCGATCAGATATATTTCTACGCATCTGAATTTAAGACTTTATCATTTTTCAAAATGGCGAAAAGCAATTTCCCTAACACTGATTTCAAAGCTGAATTCCATCCGGACTCACCAAACGGTGTTTATACAATCACCGCGTGGTGAGTGGTGGTGTTCTTCAGTACACAACGGAGGGCTCCCCACTAGCTAACAAGGCTGGCCTCAACCGCTGATCGGATTCAGTTCCAATCATCGTATGTGGTGGTGTCCAGTCGTCGGCATCATCTGCAGCACCAGCAGTGCTTTCGGCGTATGGCGTTGAACATTGTTCTCCAGTACACAACGAAAGGCTGCCTGCAAGCAGTGAGCTGCAGTCCACATGAACATCAATAGAAGGAGATAAAAAGCTGCACCGCTATTGATCGGAATCAGTAGCTCTTCGTGAGTCGCTGTGGGCCATCTATGCCAAGCACGTCACCCTCATTCCAAACAACATACAGTTCACCAGCCTCATCTGTGTTTAATACCCTAATAGCTCAGCATTACTCAACCATCACGACGAAGCGGTCCTTTTCAGGACCACCATAAATTTGTAAAAGAGTATTTTTTTGGAAATTTGTCAAGATCATCAATCGGATGTCATTTTCCATATCAAGATGGAACTGGAATTAGGGCGTAACAGCTTTTGTAAACAATGACTTCTCTCGATGATGTCTTGAAAGTCAAGGCTCGTCCCGCGCAAATGAACATCACCAACAGGTTGGGTAAGACTTCCTTTACCCGACGGATTGCGTGGGCGTGCTTTGATTTCCTAACAATCATCGAGAGAAGTCATTGTTTACAAAAGCTGGGGGTCCTAGCGTCAATTTGTCGATAACATGTTTGTCAGGAATTATTGCATTTGCGCTATTTTTTTTAGTTCACTTCAGTTTTTTTTAAATTTGGGGTTACTTTGATAATGCTCGATGAATGTAGAAAAAATGGGTGAAACTCAAACAATTCAGTTCTTTAAATTTGAAACTTTGAATGATTATGTAATCAGAAAACATCATAAGCAATAAGAATACAACATTGAATTTGCGATGGCTTTATCGGAAATACATTTCATAAGTGATGGTTTGAGCGCTTTTTTCAAACAGGCGAGAAACACGAAAATTGTTTTTTTAATATGTTTATAAAATATATAGCACATACCATATAAAAACTATATACGATATCAACGGAGATCAGTGTTCACTCGGCTGTCGACAAAAGCAGGCCACTCTAGATGTGTCATACGCGATCGTCTGTTTTCTTGGCAGCAACCATTGGCGTTGACGGCGACTCTGTAGCTCTTTACTCCTATGAGAAAATCCATAAGCAAACGTCAGACTGTGCGTGAAACATGGCGGACTTTGTACTATCCTTTCACTCCACCGAAAATTCCCATAAGAAACTGTCTATATTTGCTGAAAGAGCAAATTTTTCGACGGTGCCGTCAACGCCAATTGTGTGGTCCTCCTCATTGTTCTTCATCAGCAGTTCTTTCGGTCGCTGCGTCGTCGACTTTGGAAAGCAACCGTTTCGTGATGAGTGTGTGAGTGCTGACCACGTTTTGCGTCCATTGCTGCAATGGACGCGCTCTGACCCTCGTTGGCGTACAACAATTTGCCATACAATGAAACTACTGGAAGCGGCTCCATTTCTGATGGAGGAGGCTTTTTGGATAGCGGAAGATAATGTGTTTATTGTGTTGTACCTTTTGACTATAGTTTTAAGATGTATTGTATAGTGACCAAGAATCCTCGGCTCTGTAAAGTTAATTCGGTTGAGCCTTATCAAATAAATAAATAAACAAAAAAAAATCAACGGAGATACTCTAAACTACAATATAATTACCCGCATTATCAAAGATACCCCGTTTTACGGTACCGACAAAGCTGGTTAGGTAAAAGTGACATGGCAGTTGGATACCTGCTGATTTCTAGTACCTATTGATAAGTATATAAGTCGTAGCTAAAAGATGGTGTGGAGTACTTGGCACTGATGAAGTCTGCAAGTAGTAGACGAAATACGAGTATCTGTCAAAAGATAAGCAATTATAGCGGAATTAAAACGAAACAAATCATCACGCTCAAAAAGCTGTCCATAAAGGGATTCCTTTGAGAGGTTCGACAAAATTAAAAGATTTACATAAAATCTGTCAATTTTGCTTCCGTATCCGTTTGTTAGTGATGTCACTCCACAGAAGCTTTTACATTGGTCTATTTTTGATTTGTGATGTCGCTCTCACAGACTGCAAAATAGAATGCCTGACACTGCTAAACATGTATCTATCTATAATTCTATATCAGTGCCAACATTTCAAAGGGGCGTAATTGCATTTGTAAACAATGGCTTTAGCCGTCCATTTCTCGCGAATAAAAGCTCACTCATGAAAAATAATGACACCAATAGAGGCAGTGTTGGAAAAATATCAAAAAAATCAAATCTCACCAAAGCCCAAGATCACGCTTGATTTTCGTAGACAAAAATCAACAAGCACACAACTGCGGTTGATATTGCAAGCTGTGATGTTGCAGCTCGGAATATCAAGCTAACAAATCTCTCCAAACTGAGGTGAGATTGAGTTTCATGATTTTTGCTTTGCACCCGAACGCAACCAAAACTTCCCTAACGGCTGGTAGCAGTCGCTTTGTGTCTGCCATTAGTGAAGAGATAAAAGAGGAAGCATTATTATACCTTCTCTTTCTAAGAAAACGAGGTATAACGGAATGATTTTTGCGTCGATTCAACTCTCAGCTTCAACTTTACACGTTGTGAATAGTCTCGCAATATCAAAGGAGCTTGTAAAATCAATATCAAGCATTATATTTTGCTCCAATATCACGCGTGATATTGAGAGCGTATTAGAGTGGAAAAATATCAATTTGCTAATGATCATGCCATCACTGGATAGAGGAATGCTTCCTCTGCCATCTAGCATTGTTATTTTGAAGGAGAGAGCTTTAAGATGGGAGATATCGACAGCTAAAGCCATTGTTTACAAAAGCAATTACGCCCCTTTGAAATGTTGGCACTGATATATGCATTTAGATTAACATCCGAAGTCCCTCATTTTTTACACATTCTGCACAAAAGATACTTTCTACCCCATCCTATTCATAAAAAAAAAACGAGAAATCATGTCAGGGGCGGGGTTTAGAAACTATTTTTTGTGCAGAATATGTAAAAAGGAGGGACTTCAGATGTATTTTTTTTTTTGCATAAAACGAGGGGTTTTGCATGTTAATTTAAATGCATATATAGGGGTACCAGACATATTTTGCACTGCACTGTCCCCTGTGAACAATTAACGGAAAACATATTATGTGTGGTTTCCGATATTTGTCGCCGCAAACAGCAGTGACATACGATGGACAATGAATGCAGAAGCTTGACAAAATGGCTAATTCCGTCACGAGAAAAACTAGTAATTGCTATGTGTGTAGGATATTGGTTGGGAAACACATGGTTGATGTACATTTTTATGCTGGCAATAATGGTCGGTACGGTTAGTTATAAACGACATTCCAGTATTTAAAAAAAATTTTATCAGTCCCTCATTTTTAGTCTGGTAAGTATGATATTTATGTTCATTTTTCAGATTTCCATTAATTAGGATTTTATAGGAATGGCATACCTTAAGATAATAAACTGCATTTCAGCTAATTGATTCAACGATTAATGGAACAGAGTAATGGTGTCTTTGAGAGAAGTGTAAAACAATACTCACTAGGGTTTAATTTTATATGATGCTGATGCATCGTGTTATTGGATACTCTTTTAACCATGAGCTCCAATTGGTATTAAATCTCGAACACGAATGTCGGACTGTTTTGTAATGTATTTTTTTTTATTATAATCACTTTAACACTCTTGCGTCATTCGTGACTTCTTCAGCGATTAGATTTGAACTCAAGACTTTTACGTAAGATATATGCATGTTATCCACTATCCCGGGCCGTCCCATAAAGCCTATCTCGTGTTATAAACATCTCTATCATCGAAATATTCTATTTCATGAGCACATTTTTACAATGACCGCTCCCAACGAGAGATCTACCTACAATTTAAAAATGAATGGTTTTAACATAAATTTACTTTGCAAAACATTTGAAATTTCCAAAACGGCAATTTGTAGTTGAGATCAAATTGACCCCAGGGCAAGACAACGTCTTTTCTATGGCACAGACGAAGGGTTTGCAATCAGGGTCGGTATTAAAAGTTAATCCGAGTTGCAGCTTACCGCAATTAACAAACTCAAAAAACGACGAAATCAAAAAAGTAGGATATGACTATTTACCACTCAAATAAAATACTCAGAAAAATTAAGAAACATTCTACAAGACATCAAAATGCTGCACTCAATAGTTTTGCCGAAAATGGCCATGTCCCACGTTTTTTGGTTTCACCCCATTGTGACACACCGTGAGGAGGCACCGTTATGCAGCATTTGGTGGAAGCGCATGGTCCTTATCTAGAGTTTGGTGCAAAGTTATAAAAACTGATTTCGTACATCAAAACGGGCAACTTTCTCAAAGGCACCACTATCCTAGCCGTGAATGAAACGAATATTTAGCTGAGAATACTAACACTGTGTCACCTTCCACAGGGTATGTTCATCGTATCGCTTCCATTTGCTGTTCTACGCGGCGGCTACTGGGCCATCATCGCCATGGTCGGCATTGCGTATATTTGCTGTTACACAGGAAAAATTTTGGTGCAGTGCCTGTACGAGCCGGATCCGCAAACCGGTGAACCCGTTCGAGTTCGGGACAGCTACGTAGCGATCGCGAAGGTTTGCTTCGGTAAGAAAATCGGTGCCCGGGTGGTAAGTATAGCGCAGATCATCGAACTGCTGATGACCTGCATTCTGTATGTGGTAGTCTGCGGTGATCTGATGGCCGGATCGTTCCCCGATGGTGCCCTGGACACCAGATCGTGGATGATGCTGTGCGGTGTATTCCTACTACCATTGGCTTTCCTCAAGTCGCTTCACCATGTCTCGTTGCTCTCATTCTGGTGCACGATGGCGCATTTGTTGATCAATGCGATCATCGTCGGCTACTGTCTGTTGGAGATTGGCGACTGGGGATGGAGTAAGGTCAAGTGGCGAATGGATTTTGAAAATTTTCCAATTTCGCTTGGTGTTATTGTCTTCTCCTACACGTCGCAAATCTTCCTCCCGACACTGGAAGGAAACATGGAGGACCGTTCCAAATTCAACTGGATGCTCGATTGGTCACATATCGCCGCAGCTGCATTTAAAGCCCTTTTTGGTTACATTTGCTTCCTGACGTTCCAAAATGACACCCAGCAGGTGATTACAAACAATCTGCATTCACCTTCCTTCAAAGGTTTGGTCAATTTCTGTCTGGTGATCAAAGCAGTCCTCAGTTATCCACTGCCATTCTTTGCTGCGTGTGAACTGTTGGAACGAGCGTTCTTCCGCGGAAAACCAAAGACCATGTTTCCTATAGTTTGGGAACTGGATGGGGACTTGAAGGTTTGGGGTTTGGCATGGAGACTGACTGTCATTCTTGGAACGATCATGATGGCTATTTTTATTCCGCACTTCTCGATCCTCATGGGTTTCATTGGCAGCTTCACGGGTACGATGTTAAGCTTCATCTGGCCGTGTTACTTCCATCTGAAACTCAAGGGTCACCTCTTGGATCAGAAGCAGCGAGCGTGCGATTATTTTATCATATTTTTGGGCGTTTTATTTGGCGTTGTTGGAATCTACGATTCCGGCAGCGCACTGATCAAAGCATTCGAGATTGGTCTTCCGTTCTAAGTATCTTCTGATATCGAACTCCTGTTGTATAGTTTAGAACCAGTTGTTAACTAAATTACGATTATCAGTTCGAATGCTTTTCGTTTAATGACGTAAATTCAGCAAATATATGCATATAGTGTTAATACAATGATTGAACCTACCGGAGCCAAGTTAGGATTAGACCTTCCCAGACAGCATCTAACGTCCGATTCGGAAGGGAAACTAGTTTGAGTTGAATATTGAATGCTAAATCATAGAGTCGTACTGGGTTTACTGCAAGCATTTAAAATTAAGACATATCCTAAGCAAACCAAATGTATAAAACAAGTTTAGAAATCACGCGAGAAAAACACTAGCTTTAAGGAGATTATTCCATTTTATTGTTGAAATCCAGAACAAACCGAAAAAAAATTGATCAATGTCTTCCTAAATGCGTCAAGGATCAGATGAGTTAAATCGTTAGGTAATCCAACTGTCTTCCAGCTTGCAGAACCTGCCAAGGATCTGCAATCAAGCCAAATCATGACTCAACGGATATTAAGAATGCAAACAAATAGCTAGTGATTGAGAGTAATGAATGAAAAATAGTGAGGAACAAAGAATCCAAATGCAATAACTGAACATCGTTACTATTGTAGAAAACCAAACGAGAGGGAAAAAAAAAGAAAACGAAAAGTCAATATACCGTGCAATGACAATAAATGCAGATCAAAGCAAGTCACACAAAAATCAGTATTTAAACACGATATTAATATATTTATCAACCCTATTGTACTATTAATTGAGGAACGAGCAAATAAGCGCCAAAATCCAACCAGATAAGCAAAAAGTGTTAAATTCTACAACCATTAGGACTAGTGGGTATCGGAAAGAAGAGTTTTCGACATTTTAAATTATCCATATAGCCATTGATCAATAACAATCTTACCGAAATCATGTCTTCCAGCAGATGAGAAAAGCGTATTTAAATTCTTTACGTAGAAACAATATTCCAACGTCTTCCGAAATATTAGAAGGATTATTTTTATATTGATTTAAGGCATCAGTTTAATAATATACAAAATCCATTTTCACTGTTGTGGCTCATTTGTCATGTTGATTATTGTTTACGTAAAAAGTAGAAAAGTAATGTTATGTTATATTTAATCGCAGAGTGTTATACAAAGTATGAACTAATTACTGTATTCAAAGGTAAAACTATAGGTGTCCAAATAAATAGTTAATTGAAACCTTTTTGTAGCGATAATTTTGAAAGAACTCCTACCGAAATGATAAGCAAAGGAACGAAACGAAAGCAGTTTTTTTTGGGATTTTCGTAACAATACTGTAGTGTATCTAGTGAAGTCCATAGTTGATGAATGAATAGTATACTGTGATCCATTTTATATTATAGCACATTTATAGCAGTCAGATTAGCTAGCAATAGATAGAAGACTTTTTCATCCGACCGTCGCACAGTGGTGCCAAGGGTATCAAAACACGCGCTTTTTTATTTACGCTGAAATGGTTGATAAAGGTACTAGGTGTCTTGTGAGAAGTTTCTCGGGCTACAACATTCCTTCTTATGGTAAAAGAAAATTAAAGATTAATCCACGTAAAAGTGAGATGCAAAAATTTGTTTTTAATATAATGAGATACAAAATAATTGTGCTAGGCAAAGCTGCAGGGAACATTACTATGAACACTGTTCTCGCCGTTGTCATCTATGATGGCCAAAAGTTGCAGAGCATCCCCGGAGCACACGTCACTTTTGTTTTCATTAGTTCCTTCATGTTGGAAATTAACGGATCGGAGGATTCAAGAAGATCTGTATTCGTGGCTGCTCTAGAAAACTTTCTTGTGTGGTAGATTCTGTATTGCTTGGTATCGTTGTTTCTGCTTTCCTGGGCCTCTTCAGACAGTTGCCCAATGGGTATTAGAAACGAAGAAATCACTTTCGCCTCGTGTATGAGCACTTTATGAACAGACACGGGAAGATAGTACCATGGATATAGATCGACTAGTTTACAAGCCGTTTCTATTCCGTTGCTTTCGAACCTCTCGCAGTTAATTTCTTTTGACGTTTTGATCCCGAGTCATTTTGTTAGTCACTAGAAATAACCCAGGTTGCTTGGTTATCCATTTGTATGCTTCTTTTCACACCTACTCGATAGCAGTCCCGTGGTTTCACAAAATCGCCATTTCAAATTCTGAAAAAGGACAAGTTTCAATGCAAGTATTTCGGTTAAGGGTCATGTGGGGGCGGTCTGGTTTCTTCACCATTTTATTGCATTTTCTTGTACTTTTAATTGCTCAAAGAATGGCCTGCTTTTGCCCGTTTAGAAGTTATTGGTATTGGAAGTTGAGTAATTTCCAACCAAAAAATGTAACTAACTTTTCAAATATTCATGATAGCAATTTGCAGTCTTCTGAAAAGATATGTAATTTGATATTTCTAACATCTTTGTAGAACATGCAAGACATTTGTAAATATTGTAGAAAAAGTTACAGATACAAAACGGATTTTAACGATGTCTCCACAAAAAAAAAACATTATATCTCAACAGTTATAAGAGCTAAAAAGTTTTAGTCTTCAGAAAAGTTGTTTACTGTAATGTTCCCTACAGCTTTGTCAGAAACAATTATGTTGTATCTCATTATAAAAGGTGATACGGTCAAAATTTGGTCAAGGGAAAACGCGTGTAAATCGGTGAAATCGTTTATTTAAAAAATCAAATTAAATTTCTTTTTCAAGTTCAATTAGTATAAAATTCAGGAAAAATATTCAGTTAGGCTTCCGCTTTTCCAAATCCGAATTGCCGGGCCTTACGCTTGACCCCTGCCATCAGATTTTGTACAGCCACCTTGTCCACCTTCTTCGCCGCAGAAAGCCAGTTTGCCTTGAACTGCTGCTCGCCCTTAGCAGTTTTTTTGGTCTTCTTTAGGTTCCGCTTGACAATAGCCCAGTATTTCTCAATTGGGCGGAGCTCTGGCGTGTTGGGAGGGTTCTTGTCCTTGGGAACCACCTGCACGTTGTTGGCGGCGTACCACTCCATGGCCTTTTTACCGTAATGGCAAGATGCCAAATCCGGCCAAAACAGTACGGAACAACCGTGTTTCTTCAGGAAAGGCAGCAGACGTTTATTCAAACACTCTTTCACGTAAATTTCTTGGTTGACAGTCCCGGAAGCTATGAAAATGCTGCTTTTCAAGCCACAGATACAGATGGCTTGCCAAACCAGATATTTCTTTGCGAACTTTGACAGTTTCATGTGCTTGAAAACATCTGCTACCTTTCCCCTTTTTTTTTTGCCGTATAAAACTCCTGTCCCGGAAGCTGCTTGTAGTCGGCTTTGACGTAGGTTTCGTCGTCCATTACCACGCAGTCAAACTTCGTCAGCATCGTCGTGTACAGCCTCCGGGATCGCGCTTTGGCCGTCGTATTTTGTTTATCATCGCGATTTGGAGTCACTACCTTCTTGTAAGTCGATAGTCCGGCTCGTTTTTTGGCTCGATGCACGGTTGTAGACGATACACCCAGCTTATTTGCGGCATCTCGGAGAGAGAGGTTAGGGTTTCGCTTGAAACTACCGGCAACTCTCTTTGTCGTCTCAGCGGCTTCCGGGTTTCGATTTCTTCCCGATCCAGACTTCCTGGCTGTCGACAAACGTTCCCCAAACACTTTAATTACATTTGTAACGGTTGATTTGGCAACTTTTAGCGATTTTGCCAACTTTGCGTGCGATTAGCTCGGATTTTCGCGATGCGCGAGCAAAATTTTGATACGCTGCTCTTCTTGCTTGGACGGCATTTTGGCAACTGAAGAGTGAATTTCAAAATCAAAATAGGAGCAACATTCTACACACACACACCTTCAAAATGAGGGGTGTTCAGGTTTTTTAAATGCAAAATTGAAAGAAATACGTCAAGTTGATATTGACCAAATTTTGACCGTATCACCCTTTATTATAAAAATAAATTTTGCATCTCACTTTTAGGTGGATTAATCTTTAATCTTCTTTTACCATAAGAAGGAGTGTGTAACGCACGCCTCGCGGCCTGCGAGATACGCTTCCTGTCTCTAGAACGAGTGGCTTAAGCGCCACCTCCGAAGAGGACCACTCGTCAAGGTTTGATTTGCCCGGCAAGAAACCCAACCTCAGGGCGGGTTTATGAATGGAAGAGGCCGAAATTTAGTTTAAGAGCGATTCAGCAGACTGAAATTCCATGAGGGATTGAGATCCTTACAAACAGAGGCCGCTTCCAACGGTCTTAAGCGAAAGTTGAAATTAACCGTCGTTCTACCGTAACACAAAAACCCCACTCACATTTATCATCACTGGAGGAACTTTCCCTTTCAGATTTCCTCCCCCGATCCTGACACGTGAGTGCGGAGACTGTTTTCCCAGGCAGACCAACCTAGAGTAAATTCAACTACAGCAAAAGAATACTACAAAAAAATAACGCAAAATAGAACGACCAAAACGTGAAGAATCTAACCAACAAAAATTAACATTGCACACACAATAAATGGACCGCACGGAACTTTTTACATATAGTTTGCACTCTACAGGCACGAAAAACACACCGCGACACTAAGTACACTTAAGTACTAATTACTCGCACTCCCACCTCTTCCACGGTTCAAGTCAAAGTCAACGAGTAGAAGTTCCAGATACCCTCAGATAGGCGTGATTTCAACGGTCATCGTGGCCGGAAGTACGTCAAATTACCGAAGTAATTCAACGACCTTTCAAACGACAATTTTCATCATCTTTCTCCCAAGAACATTCAATGTTACATCTCTTTCCTTGTCATGCAATTTCAGTATACTATCTTGCTCCAATCTATTTTCGGTTATTCTTTTATAAGAGGGAACGGTTCGGATTCGAACCCCGGACTTTAACAAACAGGTAGCGTATTCGGGTCAAATGGAGTGAATTAGCTGAACGTATCGGGAACTTGTTGGTTTTTGTATGACAAGTGTAACTATATATATATATATATGGACGTACGTTCCTTGGCGGTGAATACATTTATGAATTTAATTGTAAAAAACGAACGTTTATGCAATATACTTAAATGTGAAAATTGTATAACAGGAAATCTGTGCAAATAAATAACTAATTAATTAAATGGAAAAGCGTACTTGTTACAAGTGTTGTAGCCCGAGAAACTTCCCAGCAGACACTTAGTACCTTTAATCAACCATTTCAGCGTAAATAAAAAAGCGCGTGTTTTGATACCCTTGGCACCACTGTGCGTCGTGCAGAGCGGATGCACAAATTGTTAATCCCTAATTATTTAATTAAGTATTCTAGTTTAATTAAAACAAGTGTGTAAAGTTATTCCTCCTTTCCTCGCAACATATCAAGTTGGTGACGAGGATAAAACGTGAATAGTCGCGCGTTAGTACGAAGTGAAAGTCGCGAAGCGTGAAACGGTCGCTTACACGTGTTAGGAAACATAACCTCATACATCATCATGTCGACTGGTGATAGTGGAAGCGGTGCAGTTAAGCAGGAGCCGAATGAAGTATTTCCTATCGTTCGAGCTGACATGTTAGGCCCAATCGAGCACTTCGTCGTTGGGGAGAATTTCGAAGAATTCTCCAACCGCCTTGAAATATCCATCCTTGAGAACGACATGAAGGACGAAAAAAAAATCCCCTTGTTAGTTACAGTCTCTGAACCCAGCTTGTACTCAATCGCTACCAGATTGTGTGCCCCGGACGACCCTCGTACAAAGTAGTATGACGATTTTGTCCATCTCCTCAAGGAACATTTGGCTCCTACCACGAATATCGTCGCTGAGAGGTATAAGTTCCGAAAATGTGAGCAGCACGTCTCGCAAAGCATCACGGAGTTTATTATCAGCCTGAAAGCCACCGCTCAACCCTACAAATTCGAAGCGTTTTTGTCGGATTCACTGCGAGATCAGTTCGTCGCAGGCATCCGGGATCAGAGTCTCCGGAAAAAAGTTATTGACAGAGCCGGACCTAACCTTCGACAAAGCGTGTTCGCTAGCCCGAAGTTCGGAAGCAGCCTTGAGTCAGAACAAGGAGATTTCAAGTCAGTTGCCGCAGAAGCTTGGAGCACTTAGGAAGGAAGTACATCAAAAGCCGAAACCGAAACGAAACCATCATGAAAAGGAGGAGAGCAAACTAAGTGGTAGTCAACATTCAACAAAACCATGCTTTCGGTGCAGCCGTCAGCATGATCCGAACACGTGCCCAGCACGCAGCTGGACG